GTTACTACTAGTAAGGCACTTGTTTCTACTAGCTTCTTGTTACTACTCTTCAACGGGTATGTCTCGAGGTCGCGACCCAAATTCGGGTCTCCCGTCGCCATAATCTTTGCAACCTGAGAGATTCCCCGTGGGCCCAGGTCGACGCGACTGGCTCGCAGGGCGGCCTGGCAGAATGAAGTAGGCGACACTACCCAATAGAATCTGTCCCAATAGTGTGTGCATCTGCTGTTCAGCCTGGAATAGGTCGGAGCCATCTTCCTCCCGGTGCATTTTGAGTGTTCATACCACCCTGACGGTGAATTTCAGGTGCTAGCCCAATGAAGTATCAAGTCGTCCTGCTTTTTGATCAGATCTCTCTGTTTGGAATCTTTCTCCTGATCCTGCACTAGCAGTCAAACCCTGGGAAGTCAGACAAGCTACAAAAGAGCAAAGCAAAGCTGAAAAGCAAACAGCAAAGAGCAAAGCTATGCTACGCTGCTACGCTCCTGTTGGGAGGCTTTCAGGGCAGCCTCCACATCCTTCAGGTCTTCTGGTGACTCTCGTCTGGCATACCTGGTGCAAGTGCTGCATGTCATACACGTACAACGTCTGTGCGTGATAGTCCGTCGTGGTTCGTTCGAGTGGCAAACAAGTTGAGATTCGTCGGTTGCACGGCCACCGACATATTGTACCTGTTGGACTTTGTGAACATCTATAGGTACAAAGATTGTTGGGCATGTTGAGGCCACCCTTGTTGTTCTTTCTACTAGGGTGGAGGCCATCACTACCAGGTTAGAGGCCATCGCTACTATTAGGTTGGAGGCCATCGCCATTGGGTTGAAGGCCATCTAAGGCATTTTGAGGCTACCATTGCTACCACTCGGGTAGCGGAGCCTCTTTACAGAGGCTCGTGTGAGAAGAGGATCCAGGTGTCAGGGACTGCATAGCCAATGAGCCACCCCTGAATTGAGTGGAAAGCAATGGAGAAAGTGACCAAGTCCAAGGATGGCGTGGCAAAGTTCTAGGGATCGGCAAGAAAGCTGATAGTGGGCAAGCGACCCGACTGTTTTTCACGCTCTCATAGAGTTGAGTACCTGATGCAGCACCTTCGGAAGAGTTTGGGCCGACGACAAATCCCTGAGCTGACAGAACACCTCAACCGTTACTTCAGGGCAAGTAGCAGAAAGAAGTCAGAGACCATGAATGACTACATCACAAAGACCGAAGTCTATGCAAGCAAGGCAAAACAGGCTCTCGTGCGGGTTCAGCAGTACAAGAAGACAACGAGCGAATCCACCTATGCCTCCAGCACGACCAGTCAGACGAGCTGGAGTACATGGCACAACCTGCGGCACCATCGCTACCACTCGCACTGGTAAGCCACAAAATTCCTGCCTCTCTGTGCAACTGAAACAACCTGAAGTAGCTACTCTCAACGCATTGGAAAAAGCACCGCGTACTGGGATCAAACATAAAGTGGGCCATGACAAGTCATTCTGTGGCAACTAAGTGCCAAACATCAGCAAACTAGATCTCAATTGAAAAAAATCAATGCGAGCACGTGCAGTTGGACCTATCCATAGCCATCCAGTTGGACCCAATGTTGACATCTTCATCCACTCGTTACCCGTTTCGCGCACAACGAGGCTTGGATCGCCCTCTCCAGCTCGAGATCTTCTGGCCTCAACATGTGATTTTGTTGGGCACTCCTGTTCGTTCGAGGGATGTCACTCGATCGGGCGCCCTTCGGTCTGTTAAGGGGACCGGTCGTTTTCAAGGTGCCAAAAATTCACATCTAAAAGTCCAGCTATTAAATGCCAAAAGGTCAACAGCAGGGAAAAACCTTCTTGGAAGGAAAGAACCCTGCGCAAGGGTCCGCGTGTGGGACGAAGTTGTATGAAACCAAACACACGCCGAGCCGATGAATCAGCAACAACAAAGAAATGGGTGGAGGCCATCGCTCTTAGGGTGTGGAGGCCATCGCTATTAGGGTGGAAGGCTAGCAAGTTGCAGGCCTACTCAGCGCTCCATCTCATCTGTCTGTCAGGCCTCACGCGTGATGCCTCCAGAGCCGCGATGAGTTCCAAGTCCTGAGCAGCAGCACCTCCGAAAAAGTCCACACGAGAGGCCGCCAGTGCCGCCTGTGATCGCGCGGCATGCACCGGGCACAGCTTTGGGGCGGGCACCGACCATGGAAACCATGACGAGGTCGTGTGTGGATGGTCATGTTGGATGCTACTAGGAGCAAGGACGCTACTAGGGGCTCCTGGGATCAGGCTACGGCAGAAGATCTTTCAGATGTTCTAGTTTCGGTGCTCAGATCTGACAGATTGGAGGGTGACACTGACAGAAAAAACTGCCTACAGCTGCCAGCCACAAATGAAGTGGTCTTGGCCGTCTCTTGCACAGCTACAGGTTCAATCAGTTACAACAACTCATTGGTCATGCTCATCACTGGTCATTCCCGGCCTCTAGCTCCGGATCCCAATCTTCATCGAGGGCCATGGCACTATGGCACGACCATAAATGAGGAAAATCTCATGAAAGCATGCATGCCGGAAAGGGTCGTTGTCGTTGCATCTCTGTGCTTCATGTGTCATGTTTGATCCAGGCATTCACGGTAGTTACATATTCCATGGATGCTCGTGTCTTCCTATGCCTAGTGAGTCAACTCTGCAGCAGTCCTGGAATCCATGAAGCTTTAAAATCAAAAAAGATCAAACTAGCCCCAGAAAGCACAACGCAGTCTGAGCTTGCGTCATCAAAAGCTTGCTCCTCCTCGCTCTGTCGAACCTACTTGGAAAGCATCTGGTCCAGTTGCAAGATGCAGCAAAGCTTTTGGGGCTGAGCCATCACTCTTGGGTTACGGTTGGAGGCCATTGGCCTCTCGTTGGAGGCCATCGCTGGTGTCAGGGCCGAGTGGCAAAACCACCAAACTCCACGGGGAGAAACGAAAGCACGACGAGTGGATACAACCAGGAGATTGATACAAGGACATGTTTGCATAGACGCTGGCCTCTGAAAGCTCTTGCTCAAAGAGGAAAATAACTCTGTCCTTCTTCTCCTGCCATCTCAGTACAGAATTTTGTAGATCTATTGTCCAGATAAGCTTAGCTATGGATTCTATGGATTTATGAGATATGGAATGGATAAGGTTTCTCTGCGAGCTCTGCGCCACCGATCCATGGTTTCTGTCCTCCTTGCTGAGAGGATATTCCCAGCTTTCTGACAGCCTCCGAAGTCAAAATGAAACTTGAAGAGACAATGATCATCGCTCTTAGGTTGGAGGCCATCGCAATTAGGTTAAAGACCATCGCAATTAGGTTGGACTTGGGTTGGATGGAGGCCATCGCAATTAGGTTGGAGGCATTTGGAGGCCATCGCTAGTAGGGTAGAGGCCACCGCTAGTAGGGTGGAGGCCATCACAATTAGGTTGGATGCCATCGCTAGTAGGGTGGAGGCCATGCCCTTCTGGTGACCTTTCAGCACCAGGGCCTTCTTTCCATTTGACGAGCAGGAGGAGGGGCCGACTTCCTCTTTTGCCTGAAACTCCAAGCCAATTTACTCAAAGAAAACACTTAGAGTCTTTGCTCAAACCCGTCGTGGTAAAGCCTCTGGGCAGAGTCGGAGGGGCTCTCAGCCTCAACGAGTGGCTCTGGGTGTCAACAAGTTTCGTTTTGATGTGTCGAGCCTCCATGGATGGCACAGTCACATGGAATTCGATGCGAAGCTGAAGTTCAAAGGCTCAGAATGTGTGAATGTCTATCAGTCTGTGTGTGTGGGGGTGACCGTGTGAAATCGTGGCTGGTCTTGGTCTAGAGATTCAGTTGTTGATCTCAGCATCCTCCCGTGCAAGAAACCCACGGGTCAAAGGTCATTCATGTCATGGGAAAGTGTCGCAAAGCTTGAGCCAAGCAAAAGTGTCAGCGGCACTAGAGAATGAGTTGTCCATCAAGAAACATATCAAAAAAGTCTAAACCAGCTTCATTTAGACTCCCTGATCTGCCCAATGATAGCAGCCTGATCTGACAACACTTCTGGGCTCGCTTGGGAAGGCTGAGTGACCTTGGACTCCAAGCATCTTGGTAGCAAAGTAGTAACAAGGGCATCGCTACTAGCAACAAGGGCATTACTATATACTAGTAGCAAGAAGCTAGAAGTAACAAGGTGCATCGCTACCAGTAGCCCAGTAGCTAAGGGCCTGGCCTTACTCTAGTAGCAACAAGCAGCTACTAGTAGCAAAGTAGTGACATAGTGCTCGTGGTATCAGGAGTAGCAGGAGCGGCAGCTGCCCCAGCCAACAAGCGAAGTACGAGCGGGAGGCGTGTATAACTATAGCTTCTTGTTTCTAATAGCAAACATTGTTACTACTAGTAAGGCACTTTTTACTAGTAGCGATGCACTTGTTTCTAGCAGCTTCTTGTTACTGTTCAAAGAATGCAAAAGACTAAGCGCCACGCTACATCGGTTCTGTATGATGTGCGCCACCTCATGCGCTTGCGCATCACGATGAAGCAGCTAGGCTGATGTGAAATTGTGCAGTTCTGTCCTCTCCCACTCAAACTCCCCCACAGTCGCCCTAGTGCCAAGATCACAAGTGATCTCGAGCGATCACGAGTGATCCCAAGTCCCAGACTGCTTCGAGGCCAGCAATTCCATCGACCTTGCCACCTTCGTAGATGGCATTGGCCACCTCGGAAAACGACTCGTCACGTCCCAAGTGGCACTTCTTGGGAGGAACCACTCACGGTGACATAGAACTTGACCTACTAGCGATGGGCTCCAACCTAATAGCCATCTAGTACGAGAAGTCGCCAATGTTCTTGATGGCTCTTGACGGTGATTTGCGACATGTCATGCTTTGTTCCCGTTCACAGGCCAACAGGTTTCAGAACGGCTGTGAGACACTAAGTCGTTGCTCACTTTCGCTACCTTCCCGGTACTAGGCCATTCCAGATTGGAAACAAACTGCGACCAGGTCGTGGACTTCAACTACTGCTGGATCTGGCTGGAAGGAACAACGGAAGAGACCTGAGAGGAGCATGTCACGACGCTACAATCAATTCCAAGCGGGGTGTCACATGCACAAGAGGCAGCCTGCAGCTTGCAATGCAATACCTGCAAACATCACACATCCATTTTCCACGCGTGCAACTTCAGCTTCGATCTTGAAGGCGGGGACGAAAGTGGCTTGCTAGATGGCCTAGCTTGCGGCTAGCATCAATGTTCTCCTATTTCACATCGGCCGAATATGTCGGCCAGTTCAGTTCAGCTCGTTTCCTGCCACATCTTCCAGGCTCAGTTGAGCAATGTCAAAGCCCAAGATGATGGAGCCACTCCTGGAATTGACGGCACATCGTCTCCCAACCTAGCGATGGCCTCCAACCTAGTAGTGTCCTTGTTACTAGTAGTAAGGCCAGGAGCTACTAGTAGCGTCCTTGCTCCTAGTAGCGATGCCCTTTGTTCCTAGTAGCTTCCTGTGACTAGTAGCGATGGCCTCCAACCTAATTCGCGATCGTCTCCCATCAAATCAAATGCAACCTTCAAGCGACGGGCATCGTGAACGCCATGAACCACACGATGCTCCTTAATCCGCCGCTCGTGAACGCCAAGGACCTCAGGGACCAAAGCGCCATCAAACTTTAGATTGGTATGAAAGAGAAAAGAACAAAGGTATTCCAAGAACAAGGAAAAACTAGAGTAAATAGTGATAACAATGAGAATAACAACAAAGTCAATAATAGTGAGTAATAGCTTTATTGTGGTAATATTAATGTATCGCATAAAAATAAGAAAAACAAAGGAGCCTCCACAGTCTTGCGTGCGGCACGGCCCACGCGAGCTGAAGAGTTGCAAATTCGACTCACCTTGAGACCGTCAAAAAATGTCAAAAACAAGTAGCCTCCAACCTACTAGCGACGCCCTGTTCACATACTTCAAGCACATCTCGGATGCGAACCTCTTGCGCCAAGTGTTCAGCATCGCCAAAGACCCTGCAGAATGTTAAAAATGCCAAGTTTGAGACTCGAGACCATACTTCAAACACCAAAAGTAGTCTTCTTTGCGGACTAAAAGCCTAGTCTTCTAAACTTATGCCAGTGTAGCACTCATCGGCCTGCGAATGCGGGTGAACTTCTCACCCTTTTGTGTCGGTTCGACATACACCGGCAGGTTCCCAGATGGAGTCCTTCAGCGAATGTAATTGCAATGGCCTCGAACCTAATAGCTTCTTGTTCCTAGAAGTAAGGCCAGGAGCCCCTAGTAGCGTCCTTGCTCCTAGTAGCCATGCCAGGAGATCCTAGAACGAAGACACCAAGGTGAAGCAAAGAAACAGAGTTGCTGTTGCTCCTGTGCACCAAGAAGGGTAGTGTCTTCGTGTCCACACCCTGTCAAGGAGCAAACAAAGAAAAGTGAATCTACTCCACCAAAACCATGACATGGTCCACTGTATCCGCCACTCCGTGAGCCTCTTTTTTCCGGTACTTCCGCTCACAAACCCCACGGCAAAATGGCTTCAGACCTGTCAGGAAGAACGTCAGACCGCTCCTAGTAGCGTCCTCTTGTTCCTAGTAGGAATGGCCTCCAACCTACTTGCGATGGCCTCCATCTGACAGCGTCCTTGCTACTAGTAGCTTCTTGTTCCTCGTTGTAAGGCCAGGAGCTACTAGTAGCGTCCTTGCTCCTAGTAGCGATGCCCTTTGCTACTAGTATCGATGACCCACAATTCCTTCTTGTGCCCAAGGCCTGGCGGCCATCGCTTGCAAGCCAGCATGGGCCATGCGGAATGAGAAGATTGGTTTCACCATGCTACAAGGTCCTAACCTTGCCAAAGGCTACGAACAAATTCAGACACCCGACTGTCACCTGTTGCATCCTGTTGTCAGCTTTCCGCACAACATCACTTGAGCAGGACAACCAGCGGCTAAACATGCACATATATACATCGGCTGCAACAATGCGAAAATGCCAAGTGCGTCCGTGGCATCAATGGTTCTTGTACACAGAAAGGCCGGATGTGAGGCCCACACGGGCCAGGTTGGGGCATGAGCTGCAGCCTACACTTGGCATGCCTGCCCTGGCAAGGATGCAGACCGCAGAAAGAAAAGCCGTGTTGCATACAAAAACACAAGTGAAGAAAACTGGAAGTCTGTCGCCAACTCGAAGCTGGTGATCCAACCCTGTCCCTTCCCATCACTTTCAACGCAGCTGCTGGGGAAGCATGCATATACAGAATAACTTCAAACGTATCTTTCATGTCACCGGTAAAGGGGCATTGCCTGAATGTGGAAAGTAGAAGTTTTGTGCAGGGTTTCAATGGTTTCAAGACAAAAAAAATGCCAATTTCATGGATCAGCAAACGACTGCTGCACCACTGTTCCTCGTGTCGCAGTGCTATTGCATGCTATTCCAGTCTATTGGTCAAGGGAACCGTCAAGGTCAAGTGCACACAACCCAAGAACATGGTACAAGCACTGTCAACTGTTACTGGCCAATACTGATCTCAATCAGCAAACAAACAAGGACAGTTTCGTGCGAAGTGCTCAAGAGATAGAACGCTCGTGTGCGTTTAGTATATAGGGATATATAGGGCATAGAAAACAAAGTGTTTAAATGTGGCTACTAATAGCAAATAGCTACTAGTAGCTTCTTGCTACTAGGTCCTGGCCTGGGGCTCCTGGCATTGCTACTAGTAGCTTCTTGCTACTAGTAGGAATGGCCTTTATCCTAGCGATGGCCTCCACCGAGGTGACGTGTCCCTCAATTGGAGTCGCCCGCCTTTGCTCCCGGGCCCTCTGTTTGGGCCTTAACTTCCAGCTGCCAAGCTTGAACCCAGAGTGAAAGGTCGGTCGACGCGGAACGAGGCAAACTCGCAAAGAAAGTAACCCGTCTACAGCGATGGCCTCCAACCTAGTAGCGATGCCCTTTGTTCCTAGTAGCTTCCTGTGACTAGTGACTAGTAGCGATGGCCTCCACCCTACAATGGGTGTGTCTAATTGAACCGATTCGACAGTTTCATTTCGTGGATTCCACGTTCAGCTGCCCGGGATACACCCTTTCAATCGCGCTCAACTTTGGCTGGGATCTGTATCATTGGCAGGAAACGGAAAGCGCATCTGCTTCCGTAAAGCTCTACATAAAGAGGCGACCACGGGATCATCGATCCCCTGGCCCCGACTCAGAGTGGCTGAAACCATGCAATCGGCCTCGCAGCATTGACCTCCGGCTGCGCCGGTCACTGCAGCTGTGCAGTCCGTGTCCATCGGCCGCGCCGCTCTTCGTCCGCTCGTCCGACTCCGCGAAGGACACGCGGCGTGGCTTCTCGGAGCGCGCGCGGAGTCGGCGCAGCGACAGCGGTGCGTCGTCGCGGAGTTCGTCAGTGAGGCGAGAGAAAAAGAGCCCCAAAGAGATGGCGGTCTCAGTGGCCTTGGACCAGAATTGCCAGGGAAGGGCTGGAAAGCTGTCCTTCCAACATCTTCCAACTGCGATTTCGCATGGCAAACAAGGCTACACTTTAAATACACGTTGCTTTCAGCCCGAGTTTTCACATGGTACGCCAAGTAAGCCACATCAAAGAACTAACAGATGTTGACATCACCAGCTTTCACGCATGTGCCGCTTGGGAAAATTTCTGAGTGATTCTAGCAAATGTATGCAAATGTGGGTTCATTTTCGGCTGCCGGTGCGAGGTTGCTGGCTGTGGATACAAAAGCCGCTGTTGTGTTTGTCTTAGTGCGTTGTCAGGCGCTCTGCCGTTGCGGCTATGTTGGGTGTCGTCATTGCGCCTCTATTTGTAGTTTGTTGTTGTGTTTGCCCTGTGTGTTTTCAAATGTTGTGTTTCGTGTGACGTTGTCATTCTGTGTTGTCAGTGTGATGGTCTGTTATCGGCTGTCGTGTTTGTCATTGAACTCGTCAGGCACTAGCTTATGCCCTGCAGCAGAGGTCACGATAGGGGTTGTAGTGAAGGCCTTGCTCTAAAATAGTGAAGGCCTTTGTTTACTGACTGTTAGAGTTACAGGTAATGGGACAGACCCGTCTGCTTTTGAGTCTAGCTACCCCAATCCTGTCGGGTGGGAAAAAAAATCGAGCGAAGCGGCGCACAATGGTCCTGGCCAGCTATGGGGCTTGAAGCTGGAAAGCTACCTGGAGCCGCGCGGCAGTCTGCTTACGAAGCTCCCTACTCCCTTCCCAAGTAATAACCGATGTTCGAAGCTGTTATCGAGAAAGGACGTGGTCTTACAGGTCCTCAACAACATGTCTCCACTCACTGTGTTTTTGTGTGTCAAAAAGAATGAACTAAGAATTAACTTTTGATTCGTAGCAAAAGGTGGCTACTAGGCTTGGGATTGTCTTATTTACAACGTGTTTCTTGTGGCATCGAGATCGGCTGCTTGGGTCTCTTGGAATGACTGCCGCACAAAAGGCCTGGCGCACCTCCAATCGGCCTACAGTTGGCCTCAGGAGTCTTCAGCCCACTTCATGTACTTTTTCTAGTAACTAGAAGCTATATAGGTGGAGGCCATCGATATTAGGTTGGAAGCCATTGCTACTAGTAACAATAAAGCGTTCTAAATGTGTGGTTTCCTCTTTTCATTATCTTTCTTTTTGGGGAAATTCGCCCCTTCTTTTATATATCTGTTGTTCTCTGTGTGTTTCTTTAAATGTTTAAACGGTTCTTTATTTATGTTTCCTTCCTTGCTGGCGTTCTTCCTTCCGTTCTGCCCTTCTTCTTTCCTTTCTTTCTTTTTTCTTTCTTTCTTTCGTTCTTCTTCCTTCCTCTTCCTTCCTCTTCCTTCCTCTTCCTTCCTCTTCCTTCCTTTCCAAGACCACTGTGTCGTACTCTCTTTTGAGCTCACAAGCAATGCACAATGTACCACTATACACTCCAAAATAGATGAGCAAGAGCTGATGGCTTCATCTCCCTTCATCCCTTCTTGGGACCCACACCAACTCCTGGTGATGCCAATTCGCATCGTTTGACCTGCCCAGGCGAATTCTATTCGCTTCAGTCCAAATCGATTCCCGAAGAAACGAGCCTCAGGAGCTGCTCTGCCGCTTGCACGTCCTGGCGCCAGAGACGCTCTTTGGAGCGTCCAGGATGACCGGATTTGTTCGTCGTTTGGATCGTGTCTTTTTCCCTATTGTTTCTACTAGCTTCTTGTTACTACTAGTAAGGCACTTGTTACTACTAGCGATGCACTTGTTACTGCTAGTATTTCTTTTTCCCTGAGCCGAAAAAAGAAGAACTTCTGTTCCCTCCCCAAATCTTCATCGGTAGCGCTGGTTACTGCTTGTTCAAGGTGCAGAAAGCCTGAGCCGACCTCGCGGGAGCCGCAGGAATCGACCTTTTGGTTCGGTCCTTGTCGTAGAGCTGCAGCAGCCGACCTCGCTTCTCCTCTTGGCTCAAAGGCCAATCCAAAGAGTGAAGCCTCCTGACATGAACATGCTGTACAAAGTGATTCAACATGATACACATCCTTTTCTGCTCTGTGTGACATCCTATTCTTGTGTTCAGCCCTTCAGCTTGGCAAAGGTTCCTTGCACTCACGTGAACCATGAGTAGTAGCAAGAATGCTACTCGTAGCAAGGTGCATCGCTACTAGTAGCAAGAAGGTACTAGTAACAAGTGCATCGCTACTAGTAACAAGTGCCTTACTAGTAGTAACAAGAAGCTACTACTAGCAAGAAGGTACTAGTGGTTGACTTGCACTTGGATGTCCAAAGACTTCCAGTTTGACGCGCCCGGGAGCTCGAGCAAACTCACCGCGTAGACCAACTACCTGTACAGCCTGTGAGTTTGTTCGACACTTTCGGATCTTTCTTTGCTCATGGGGCGCTCCTGGCACTAGCAAGAAGCTAGTAGGTTGGAGGCTACTACTAGTAACAAGAAGCTAATTACTACTAACTTTAGTAGCTACTAGCTGCTTTTTGTTGACACATGTTGCCTCTGGTGCCTCTGGTTGAAGCAGAGCTTCGACAACATGATCGGAACATCATCACAATATCTGCGAAGGACATTGTTCACATTGTAAGGCTCGCGAGGGGGGTGTCACTTTCTGCGTACTTTTTGTACTTCAACGCCGCTGGGCACTTCGACAGCACACAAATACAACGGCAGACGCACCAAAAGGCCTAGTCATCCGGATGTTAGCGAGAACAAAACCACATATGTTTATCTTTGTGTGTGTGGACCAGTTCGCACTGGCTCCCTATGGCTGTTGCATATACAAATATGCATGTGAACCTAGATCAACCGGCTTCAAACGAAGGTCCTTTAAACCTTGCGCTGGTTTGGAGGCAGCAAACTCACAAGTTTCGCATGCGCCACATGCGCCACATGTACCGTGGCAGTCCGCGTGGCCAATTGCCTTGGCCGCCCTTCATTGATGTCGCGTATGTACTGGTGCTCTGCTCTGCACGAACATGCACTCGAATCGAGGGCATTGCAGAGCCATTTGCCACAGATTAGATGCAAAAGCCAGATTGGCTGCGATGAACCATCATCGATCTTGGTCATGTGAGTGAAACCAAAGGAAGGCTGACGTCTGAGTTAAACGAGTACCACTAAGGTTCCACGGGAAGAATGGACATGGTTGTTCATGCACAAATGTGTCCATGCAAGTATGCCACTGAGGAAACCACACGAAATCAACAGCATGTCATATCATATTGGCAGTTGCTGGTGACAACACGCCACTGAGGCGAGCAGTAGATGCTTTGGGCGAATAGCCGAATAGCTATGTATCTGTTCCAACGTGAACTCCTGTTCCAACATGACCGCGAGTCTTAGTCTAACCTCCTGTTGACGACGTTTGCGGTGTCCGGTCCTCGACATGCCATCGGCACATCTGATCACTGGAGCCAAGGGGCCAAGGAGCGACGGTCGAAGCTGAGCCTGTTCTGCAATTGGAAAATGAAGAAGGCAAAGGTCTAAAAGCTAAGCTCTAAAATGTCTTTTAAGAATATAAACAAACCCGAAGGAAAGAAAAAGAAGAAGACTCAATGGAACTCAATGGTTAAGTATTAAAGAAAACTCAAAAGGAAAGAAAAAAGAAAATACTCAAAGCAACTCGAAGTTTAAATCATAAAGAAAACTCAAAAGAAAAGACAAAGAAAAAGACTCAAAGGAACTCAATGGTTAAAGTAATAAAGAAAACTCAAAGGGAAAGAAAAAGAAAAAGCAGGTCTTTTCTTTTCTTTCAATAGCTCAAATGACTCTTCTGCATATGTGCGACTCTCCGCTCAGTCCAACCCTTTTTCGGGCTGCACACGACTCGAAGCTATTCATGAGTACCATACCTGCGAATTGGGTCTAGGTGCACCAAGGATGCTTTCTTGTTGTCTATACGAGATAATCCTGCTGGAGGCCATGAGTGGGAATCCTCAGTCAAGGGTTTGCGCTGTTTGCGTTGCGGTACTAAGTTGCCCAAATACAAAAGTTTGAGTGATCTTCGAGGTTCTGGTGCAAATCCCATGTGATGGGATGGGTGGTGTCCGCGGGGTGCATTATACTCATACCATGTATGGTGGCATGCGGAAGACCTGCAATGTTTGCAAGGGAGTATGTTTTGCGGGGCGACAGATTAGTAAGAAATTGCGGCAACCGTTAGAACCTCCGGAAGGGTCTTGTACAGGCGGAGCAGTTTGGGCTGGAAAGCACAGGGAAAAAGCAAGATAAAGATTGAGAATGTTAGGAAAAATGAAGAAAAACAGACTTAATGCAAGTAGGTTGGAGGCCATCGCTAGTAGGTTGGAGGCCATTGCTTCTAGGTTGGAGGCCATCTTAATTGAGTGACTTCAGGTCACTGATATGTTGGGTCACTCATTGAAGATGGTCTTGGCCCACGATGGATGAGGAGCATCAGGTCTCAGCGGGCACCAAGCCTCACAGACCGGCCATATTCGCCAACAAGAGCAAACGAAGACGTGTAATGGAAACCAATGCAGAAAATGGAAACCCTTTAAGAGAATCATGATATATCGTCCTATCAAATCAGCGCTGTCTCTTTGATTCTCAACATATCCTCCCCATGCTGTCTTATTCCTTTCACTTGATAAGTGCACATCTCCAAACTAGATCCACCTCTTTGGACTCCATCAGTTCGCACCTGCGAGAGATTGAGAAGCACCGCTCATCCAGAATACGAAGCAGCGAAAAACCAAGAATGGTTCCCTATTGAATCACGTGATCGTTTGTCTTTGCCCACTTCGAACCTCAGGAGCATCGTTTGCGAGTCCTGCCCGGAAAACCAAAGTACTTCAAACCCTCAGCGTCGAACCCAACCGACATTTCAGTCCTGCTGGTCCACGACGTCCAGCAGCATGGCATCGGACCTTCCAGCAGGTTGGAGACCATCGCTTCCAGTTACTATAAAAGTTTACGTAGTTAGTAGTTTGCTAGGTCTGCTGCATCGACCACTCCGTCCATTCCGTCCGACCGAAGGGCTGACCTCTGCTGCCCATCTGCGGCCATCGCCACCAGGTCCCCAGGCCTCGAGAAGTGGCCGCAACAAAAACCTAAGCCCACCAGCATTCCTAGAGGACCTAATCTAGTGTGATGGATATATATATATATAACAACGTAAAAAAAACTAAACACCTGAGAAGGGAGGGGACCAAAACCAGCCTACGTAAGAAGACATCAATGTGGTTAGGAGAAAGGTTGAGTTGAGCAGGACATTCGCAGGTTCGGGGTGCCCTTGTTTTTTTCGTTCAACGGCGCTTTCAAGCTGAAAAAGGGCACCCCTAATTAACTGAGGGGCGCTTGCCTGCTGTTGTTTTCAGAGACACACAAACATAGGATCAACAACACGTCAATCATGTCAATCATACGTTTGCCACGTCATAATCTAACTCTCTTGGACGTCTATATATCGCTCTGAGGGGGCCTTTTTGCATCCAGTTAACTGCCCTTTTCCCAAAAAAAAGAAAGGAGCACCCCCAAGCAACTCAAGGGATGCTAACTGCATTACCCCTTCCTCTCCTGTCCTCTACCTGGACTCATAAATCTGGTGAGCCCACCTCAAATATGGGGAGCCCTCTCTAAGGAGCAAAGAGGAAATACCACATCAAGACGCAGCTAAGCAGCGAAACCCCCAAGTGTCCTCCTGCGTTGTCCAAACGCTCTCTCTATCAGAAATAGATTCTGGATTGCACAAATCTCGCCGCTTCTGTCCTCTAACTGGATGGACACACCTGGTTAGCCTGGTCAGCTCCCTCAGTGTGGGATGACCTCTTTTCTTGCATCTCCTGTCCTCTACCCGAACTCCCACCCCTAGTCAATGGACAGTCTAGGTAATCTCTAAGCCTTCGTGAACCCTCTACCCAACCCCCACCCTAGTCAACAGGAATCTAGTTTCCTGAGCACTTCGTGATGCTAATGGTGCACTACTCAGCATCATTTGCATCACTCGCATCACCAAGACCCCTAAAACAATCTATATAAACATACATTTTTGCTACCTTCCTGACCGCCTCTTCTTTTCACTCTCCCCGACCAGGCTCACCCTACCCGGCACGTTTGCGACCACCCCCCCCACACCCCGTATACTCACTTCGTTCGCCCATCGACAACTCCAGCCTAGCCTATCGGCTGGCTTTCGTTATATATGTATGACGGTTTTGCAGAAGGCATAAACAAATACAGGAGGCATAGTAAGTAGTACCTAAAGGGAAAATGGACACGCAAAGCAATTCAAAGCGAATGACCCACTCACCTCAAGCACAAGGAGAAGCATCGAAGCTCACCCTGGGCCTTGAAATCCAATCGCTCTTTGCTTTATGTTACACTTCTTTAATGGCACTGATCACACTCACGACCTACACGACGCTGAGGGCACCACGTGTGAAGTACTGGCCAAAAGTTGCTTGTCTCTGATGGCCCTGAGCGTGGCGAATTGCGTACGGCATGCATGGCAAATCCAACACCTTACAATTGAATACTTGAGATATCACTTCAGCCACAGTACCAAGCGGCTGCTACACCACAAGCCGCGCTTGACAAGGTGTGCTCAGCCAGCACTAGCAAAGCCTCAGAATCTGCATGTTGGAGGCCATCGCTAGTAGTAACAAGGGCATCGCTACTAGTAGCAAGAACGCTACTAATAGCTAGGGCATTACTACTAGTAGCAAGGACGCTAGCAGGTTGGAGGCCATTGCTAGTAGGTTGTAAATGTCGAACGACGCCCACAGAGCTATGATCAGTGTATGGCTGCTCTGAGGGCGCTGCTGCTCGAGTAGCTTCTGGAAAAGCGCGTAGCACTGCCTCTCAAAGAAGCACCACTCCACATAGAAATGGCGACTTGAAATGACATGAAACGTGCAAACAGCTCCAGCCATAGCTATCAATGCTGACGAAAACAAGAAGCACTCTGGCAAGCGTTTGACCACGCGGAGTGGTTCAGTTGTGACAGGACTCCATCAAAGGTCGAAAGGACCTATGCAACAACCATGTTCAAGCCTCTGCCGGAACCAACGGTGACAGAACTTGACCTCGGATTCCAAGATTAGCTCTCTGGTCGACTCATCTCAAGGTATGCATCTTAAAGTCTTAAAGTGATACCTAATAGCGATGGCCTCCAACCTACCAGCGATGGCCCCTGTCTAAAACTTCATACTCCTGGTAGCTTGGAGTGGCTCGATGTCAAAAAATCACCTTGGGTACCTTGCGCCGTCTTGCACGCTCCAAGAGACTTTTGCTGCAGCACAGCCTGAGGGAAATGTTCAATGATTGTTCTTGTTACTATTTATTGCTCTCGCTGTGAGGTTGGGGGGCAGAGCGGCCCTTCGCATTGTGCCTTTTTCGAATCCTCAGAGCTCAAGGTTGGTAGGTTCCCTTCAGCTCTGCAAAGTACGCACCGCAAATACTGTTGCGAAGGGTTTGCATCTGCAGGTCGCTACTTTTCAATTGGGGGCGCTTCTCGGGACCAACCCGAAGTTCGGACGGGAAAACTGCCACAAAATCAATCCACATACGCCTGAAATACTCCGTCTTCCTTAGGCTTCCTTAATGGCCTTCACCGCTTCGGCATAGGAGGGTGCCCCGAAGACCGCGGAACCGGCCACGATGGCATTGCAGCCAGCAGCCTTGATCTCCTTGGCATTATTGCCGCTGGCACCACCATCGATCTCAATCCATGGGTTCACACCCTTCTCCTCGCACATCTTCTTCAAGTCCCGAATCTTGTCCAGCTGCGACTCGATGAAGCTTTGACCGCCAAAGCCAGGGTTCACGGACATAATGAGGACCAAGTCCACCTTGGAACAAAATTCTCAGAGTCTTTGAACTTCTACAGGAACCCTTTGGGATCTACACTCTGAGTGTCAGAAGCTGAACATGGAGAAACCCGAAACCTCTCCACCAACAGCTTACACCAATTCAAACACAGCATCAATTCAACAGCCTGCTTTCAAGAACACACAGCAAAAAACTCATCAAACCAGCCTCTGAGAGCACATACTCGATCTGGGACAATGGAGTGCCTGGGTTGAGGACCACCCCAGCCATACAGCCCATAGCCTTGATCTGGTTCAAGGTACGATGCAAATGAATAGTGGAGGCACTCTCACAATGCACCGAAATGATGTCAGCGCCTGCCTTGGCAAAGTCCTCCACTCGTTGCTCCGGCTCCACGATCATCAAGTGGCAATCGAGGACTGCATCTGGATGAGCCTTCCTGAGGGCTGCGACCACACCAGGACCAATGGTGATGTTCGGCACGAATCGCCCATCCATCACATCCACGTGCACCCAATCAGCACCAGCCTTCAACACATCACCGACTTCCTCTCCCAGCTTGGCAAAGTCAGCAGACAGGATGGAGGGCGAGACTTGCACGGTCTTGTCCATGCTCCTCAACTTCTCCACTCGAGGATTTCCCTCTCGCATGGCCACCACTCGAGCAACTTGTTTGCTTCGCTTCACTGCCTTCACGGCACCTCCAGCCATGGCTGCGCCGACGACGCCGGCCATAGCCATCGTGGCGCCGCCCATCTGTGCCTGGCGCCCATCTGCGTGTGCCGCTTGAGGGGCAGAGGCCCGGAGGTTCGGAGTGGGCGCCACGAAGGCACCAGCACAGCCGAAGAGCGCAGGGATCATCAGGGATTTGGCCATGGTGCTAAGTGGTGTCTGTCTATTTTTGGACCCTTGCGGCTTGCTGGTGCAGTGCAAAATAGCCGATCCTCAAGCACTTGTAGGTTTTTCAGCCAAAAGGCCTCCTAGGCATCCTACCATATCCTACCATCATTACGAATGCGGCAACAAACATGGTCAAAATGAGTTCAAGAAAAATGAACTATGGACTTTGTGGACGGTCACATCGAACACATCCGTTTGGCATCTGGGTTTTGCACCCTGCGGCTGTGTCTGTGTTGAAGGAAGCAACCTCATCGTCCTCATCGAATAGTGAAGGACAGAGTATAGACTTGTTTGTTCTTTTGAAGGGGTACAGTCACCCATGGTGAAACAATTAACATAATGTAGAAAATAGTTTGCACATGTTGCAACATTTCAAAAAAAGTCGACAATTGTTCCAGCAATTGCTTTGAAATTGTTTGATATTTCCATCAAATGTTTCATCAATGGTTGAATAGTTCCAACAATTGTTTTAACATTTGTTGAATATGTTCAACAACTGTTTCGACAATTGACAATTGTTCAATATGTCGAACAATTGGTTCGCAATGGTTTTGAAATTGTTGAATATTTGCAACAAGTGTTTTGCTAAGTCAAACTCACTGTGATTTTGAAGGCTGCCTTTTTTTCTAGGCATCAGCCAGTGGTATCGACAATGAAAGTCAATACTTTGGGAAATATTCAAATGTTATGTATTACTTCAAAGCAATTGTCCAAAACTATCGCCGTCAACATCTCAACAAATGATTTGTAGAGAAACGATTTTGTAACATATATGTAAATAAAGAAACATTATCTGGCAATATGTATATATAGATATACAATCTCGACAAACCATGTGTAGAGAAAAGCTTTTGCAATTGATTTCCCAAATGTTTCGACATGTCCCAAGAAATTCCAACATTTGCTTGCCGATTTTGAAACAATTGTTGCAACAATTGAAACAATTGCTACAACCGTTTTGAACAATTTTCAACAATTTCCAAAGCAATTGAAACAGTTGCTACAACAATTTTGAACCGTTTTCAACAATGTCTAAAACAATTGAGACAAGTGCTGCAACAATTTTGAACAATTTTCGACAATGTCCAAAACAATTGAAACAGTTGCTACAACAATTTTTGAACAATTTTCAACAATTTCCAAAACAATTGAAACAATTGCTACAACAATTTTTGAACAAGTTTCAAACAATTCAAACATTTGCCAAAACAATTCGAAACATTTTCTCTATATCCCCAAAGGTCCCGGAGTACCAAGCTTCTTAAAACAAACAATTATAGACCCCTAGTGCTTGCACAAACGTTCCGTTCACCTCAAAGGGAGCAGAAAAATCTAAACCCAAAACTCTCTATCTAAAGACATGTTGTTCATTTTTGATATCGTTTCTGTTCCTCCTGTCTTCAGACTTTACTGCAGACCTTTCTTTTCGTGTTTCTACTTTCCTTTCGAGTGGCCAAACTGCCGAACTCCTTCCCTCACCTGGTACGGCTTCAAGAGGCGCAAAATCATTGGCTGGGTGTCTGCGCGAGAGGGCATTGACCTGCAAAACGAGCGGCTCACGAGCGGCTCCACCGGAAAAAGAACTAAAATTACGAAAAAGGAATGTTTCCAAACTCCAACCTATTAGCGATGGCCTCCAACCAAATAGCGATGGCCTCCAACCTAATAGTGATGGCT